TCCTTTTTGCAAGCAATTAAAAACAGTTCTGACCCACATATTGTTCCTCATTCAGGAGTGATAGAAGACCTACTTTCCCTCTTAGTCAATCAGTACTCACTGTTTCGATTCCCAGGCCTGAGCGTCTGTTTCTATCGAAGCAGTCATAAGCCCACTTTTCTTGGTGCTCAGGAACATTTCTTAGCAGACCATGGCTGTCTGCATACCTTCAGGGGGACAGAACAAGGCTGAGCCGTGACCAGGGTATTCCAGGGAGCACCTCCTCCCACCAGGAATAACATGCTGTTTTTCTGCACTGATCCTCCTAGTTCCAGCTCTTCAATCCTGAATTGGTAATAGAGGTATTTTCAATAAAATGCTGAAGATATATTTCAGGTACCTGAGTCTTGGCCTGTGTGAGAATTACTGGTAAAGAGCTAAGCAGTGATGATTTTGATATGGTAAATTTATTTTATGCACAATTTAAAAAAGTAAAGGGACCTGTGGAGGTGTCTATCTTAAGCAATAACTTTATTGCTTACTTTCTTGATTGCAGTTTGGGATAAAATACCATTCTTGGAACCAAGAAGACATGGTGGTTGTCAGCCATGTTTTTGGTTCACCTTTGACTGTAGTGTTTTTTGTTCTTTTTAAACTGGATGCTGGTGGCTCACGCCTGTCATCCTAGCTACTCAGGAGGCTGAGATCTGAGGATCAAAGGTTCAAAGCCAGCCCAGGCAGGAAAGCCCTTGAAACTCTTACCTCCACTTGTCTACCAAAAAGCTGGAGGTGGCACTGTGACTCAAGTGACAGAATGCTAGCTTTGAGCAAAAAAGGCTAAGGGACAGCCCCTGGCTCCAAGTTCAAGCCCTAGTACTGGCACATAAAGAACAACAACAAAAAGGTTTTTTTAGATAATGTCCCTTACCCAGGTAGAGTTTCCACTGTGTTGGTGAAATTGGTAAGTTAATGGATTCGAACACTCATCCTCTCTTGGAATTTATCGAGTCCCAGGTCTCAAACCACCCACGGGCAGAGTTGGTTCTCAAATGAGCCAGTCTGTGCATTGGTTGGACATGGCGTTTGTTAGGGAAATGTGCCCCTGATACAAAGACCTGTTGACACTCGCTGTCCCCCTCCCTGTCCCCCTCTCCCCCCCTCCCGCCCATCTGCCCCTGGGCATTATAAGCAAGCACTCCCTCCCCTGGTCCATGCCTGTGGTGAGTCTTGAAGCTATTTGCTTTGTGGTTGGCCTCCTGTCCATTGGGACATTGGGCTTTTTTTCATTTTCATTTTTCACCATCTCTGGTGCTTTTGAACTCAGAACCCCCATCCTCCCACCACCCAAAGTCCACATTCCAGCCCCATGATCTCATGGTACCAGGCGTGTCTCCCCTGCCATGCCGAGAGGCCACCCGCCAACTCTTGAGAGAGAATACAGACAGGAACATAAATTCACTGCCGTGAAGCGGGTTGCTCTCTGTATATTTTTAAGACCAGGGATCCGGGTCCTAGTTTTGAGGCTGTATTTTTTTTTCTTAACTAGCTCCTGCAAACTGAACAAAACATGTCTTGTTGGGGTATTTCTTGATGCTGCACCTCCCTCTGCATGGATGGACAGAATCTCAGGAACTGGAGAATGGAGATTTATTAGATCATGCCCAGCCCTCTCATGCCCCTCACAGGTCTTTTCTTCCCACAGTCTCTCCTCTGGTGTGTTTCTCTCCTAGTTTTCTCAAGAATTTGTTTTCTCCGTTTCTCAAGAATTTGTTTTCTCCATTTCTCCTGGGGAATAACTTCTTTGTGTGACCATAGGGGAATTTATGTAGACATATTCCTATTCTTTTTTTTCTTTTTTTCAGCTCAGTTTTCTTGGTCTTCATAATCCTTTACATTACCAGAAATATCCTCTCATCTTTCTAGAGCAGGTATTTCTAGATGGATTTTTTTTCTTCCTTTCCATTTATTAAGTTCAGAGTTTGTTTTTCTGCTTTGCTTTCGTTCTTCATCAATCAGCCCTAAAAGCCATTAATCATTTTCTATTGTACTGAAAATTATTTTGCTTATTCCCATATCAGGAATCCAGGGTTGGTGAAAATCAGTACTGGAGGAAACCTTACTAAAGCAGGATGTACTCATTCTCTGGCTCCCTCTCTCTCTCTCTCTCTCTCTCTCTCTCTCTCTGGTTCTCTCACTCACTCTGTTTTTCTCCAAACTTCAAATGGAAACTATTTTAAAACATTACTTCTAAACTATGAAGAGTTAAAGGCTGAGTATGAGTGTGTATGTATGTGCACGCACGTGTGCATGTGTATGTCTGTGTGGTTAGATTATGTTTGTTGTCAGTTACTCTTTCTTGTTTTTTTTGTTCTGGTCCTGGGACTTGAACTTAGGGAATGGATGCTGACCCTGAGCTTCTTTGGCTCAAGGCTAGCTTTCTACCACTTGATCCACAGCTTTACTTCTGGCTTTTTGGGTAGTTTCTTGGAGATAAGAATGTCACAGACTTTCCTGTCTGGCCTGGCTTTGAACCACAGTCCTGAAATCTCAGCCTCTTGAGTAGTTAGGATTACAGGTGTGAGCCACTGGCGCCCAGCTGTTCTCAGATACTTGAGTGGTATTTTTCATACCCTCAGAGCTATAAGTCTTTTGGATTTTTTCCTGAGGACTTGGATCCAGTTCAATTAGTACCCTTAGAACTAGGTTGTGGTATTCTACTTTAGACCTATATTAGGAGTAGAGAAAAGAAATAAGCTGTTGTTTGTAGTATTTGTAGAATTTAGAAAAACATTTAAGTAGCCCTGACAGTCACTTGTTTAAAGTAGGTTAGTAGACCACAGTGTCAGATAGAAGGACTAAAGCCTTAATATACAGTATGGTTTCCTGGAAGAGACAGTCCAATATGATAAAGACACTTATTTTATTTACAATGATAAGACCCCCCACTCTTGAGACTTGACTAGGTAATTCTAAAATGTATTGAGAAATATGGAAGACCAGGATGAGTAAGATACTGTTTTTTTATTGTTCTTATACTTTCCTTTATTTCATATTGGTTTATACACATTATATGGGGGGGAGGATTTCATTGTTTATGCTGTATTTCAGTCAGTTCCCCCTCCCTCATACTCCCCGTGCCATAACTTATAAGAAATATTGCCCACCACAGGTTTCCTTGTTGGGTAAGATACTTTTAAAAGAAAAAAAAAAAGATCTGCTGGGTACTCCTGTATTCATAGCTACTCGGGAGGCTGAGATCTGAGGATTATGAAGCCAGCCTGGACAAACAAATCCAAGAGACAGTTATGCCCAATTAGCCAGCAAAAAACCAGAAGTGGGTGTGGATCCATGGCAGAGTGCCAGTCTTCAGTGAAAAGGCAAAGTGCCTGTGGGAGGCCTGAGCTCAAGCACCAGCACCAGCACACACATAAAGATGGATTGACTTGATCTGTCTGGTCCCGACGTTCATTTACAAAACAATGTGACACTAGCACAGGTAAGGATACATATACAATTGGGCTAATAGGAAAAGACCAGGAAGTGGTGCTGTGGTGCAAGTGCTAGTATGCTGGCTTTGATCTTAGAAGTTCAGATATAGCATATACTCAGGCCCTGAGTTCAAGCTCCAGGGTTGATACACACACACACACACACACACACACACACACACATTAAAGCAAATTACAATACACTTTCCAAGTTTGAGTCCTAGTCTCAGACCTTAAAAAAAAAAAGGAAGAAAGAAAAAAGAAATAACCAACCTTTTAGGGGTTGGATGCATGTCTCTGTTGGTAGAGTGCTAAGACAGTGAGCAAATGCATGGGGCACCAAGTTCAAGTCCCAGTCTCAGACCCAACAACAACAACAACAACAAACAAGATTCTTTCCAGCTTCTTCTCGCAGGGTTCTGTGAGCTCAGAGACAGCACATCAGAGCAACGGAAGGAAGCAGTCCTCAGATATCATGTAGGGAAAGTGAATGCCTGCTTCATTCTGTATGCAAAAAATCCAAACCTTAGCTGAGCTGTGAGGATGGAGATTTCTTTCACCGTTCTGTAAAGCTATTGTGACTGCTTACCCTTAATTTTTTTATGATCTCATGGTTTGATTTGCTCTTACCAATTGCAAAGTCAGGACAGAGAAATCTCAGAGACTGTGATTTCCAATTAACTAGGGAAAAAAAACCCCAACCCTCCAAGTAGAAGAGCATGTCAGTCTCCTCAAGCATTTATCCATTTCCTCATGGTGAAGGCCATCACAATCTTTTTTTTTTTTGGTCAGTTGTGGGGCCTGAACTCTGGGCCTGGGCACTGTCCCTCAGCTCTTCAGCTCAAGGCTAGTGCTCTACCACTTGAGCCACAGGGCCACTTCCGGCTTTTTCTGCTTATGTGGTGCTGAGGGCCCATGCATGCAAGGCAAGCGCTCTACCACTGAGCCACCTTCCCAGCCGCCATCACACTCCTTTTGTTACAGCTTTTTGAGGTGCACCTTCTTATTCTCAATAGTCACCCAGTGTGCAGAAACACACCAGAAGGTGGCTATGAGATGATGACATAACCCCTGTTGATGAATTCTTTCCCATCTTGTTCTCTCCCTACTCTCTACCCTGATCATCTGCTCTTCTTCTCTCAACTTCATCTCGTTTGTTTTGGCGGTCCTGGGGTTTGAACTCAGTGCCCTGTGCTTAACCAGGCAAGCACCCTGCTACTCGAGTTCAAATCCCCCACCATGGCCTGGCTGTGTGACCGTGAGAAATAATGGATTAAGACCAGGGAGATGCGGAAAGTGACAGTGTGCCTCCCACAGTGGGTTTTGTGAGGATAAAATCGGGTAACACATGTCAGGCCCGGGCACAGCGCCTGGCTTGGCACAGAGTAAGCACAAAACAAACGTGTGTGATGATGGCTGGCTAGAAGAGTGCAGTTTACAGGAATAGAACTAGCTACTCTAGAGAGCTCCACGGGAGAGGAGGATCATGGGCCCTGCCTCAAAGACCGACGTGTTTGTTTTTCTTCCTTCCAGAATGACAGCGTAAAGCGAGTCTTTTCAGGCATTCAGCCGACAGGAATTCCTCACCTGGGAAATTACCTGGGTGCTATTGAAAGCTGGGTGAAGCTACAGGACCAGTATGAATCGGTGTTGTACAGCATCGTCGACCTGCACTCCATCACCGTCCCCCAGGACCCTGTCGTCCTTCGGCAGAGTGTCCTGGACATGACCGCAGCCCTTCTTGCCTGTGGCATCAACCCTGAGAAAAGCATTCTTTTCCAGCAGTCTCAGGTCAGCTTCTCCCATTACAACCACTGTTCTTTTCCCGTAATTCAGAGAACGGTGTGACTCCTTTGAACAAACTAGCTGGTCGTTGAACAAAACGAATGCTGAGCAGCTGAAACGCGTATTGGGCAGGAGGAAGGTCAAGGGGAGGGGGCGGGGGGGGGGAGGGACAGAGGAATTGAGGGAGGAAGGGTAGGGGTGTGAAAATGGAACTAGGGTTGGGAGGGAGGGGGAGAACAATTGAAGAGGCCACGTGGATTAACCTGACATGCTGAATTGAAACCACTATGTACAAACAACTATTTGATATTTTTGTTTGTTTGTTAGTTTTGTGCCAGCCCTGGGGCTTGAACTCGGGGCTTAGGCACTTGTCCTTGAGTTTCTTTTGCTCAGGGCTAGTGCTCCCCTACTTAAGTCACAGTTCCACTTCCTGTATAACAAATTATAAACTCAAAATTTATGATGAAATCATGGGGTGCTATATTGGTATCACTGGGTCTAGATTACAACTGAGAATACTTTTATTTTCAGAGTATTTGGACAAAGATTTTAATAGTTCCTAAAGCTCCGCTGGTGGTATTTTATATATATATTTTTTTCAAGAATGACTTGGTCAAATACAACTGTTTTAGTTTAATGTTTTGCCTTTATTGTGTGTGTGTGTGTGTGTGTGTGTGTGTGTGTGTGTGTGTCCATGTGTCCTGGGGCTAGCACTCTGCCACTTAAGCCACAGCTCCCCTTCTAGCCTATTGGGGGTTAATTGGAGATAAGAGTCTCACAGACGTTCCTGTCCAGGCTGGCTTTGAACTGTGATCCTCAGATTTCAGCCTCCTGAGTAGCTAGGGTTACAGGTGTGAGCCACTGGCGCCCAGCTGTTTTGCCTATATTCTTATCCTTAAGTGTCCCTATATTTCAATCCTATTTTTCAACTTCTCTCCCATGAGGTAGATTTGTAGTCTTTCATTTACCAAAAAGTCATATCTCATCAATAATTCTGGCCTGGGACTTGTTTTTCTCTGCTGGATTACATGCGAACAGATGAGTTCGTACTATTGAGTCATCTCCCAGAGAGCAAGGATCACATTTTCTTACCAGTGGTTTTGTGTAATTCCATTGTTGCTTTCTTGGCTCCTGCATTTGGAAGGCCTACCGAATAATTCCCATTGTTCATTCTTTATATAATAGCTTTTGAGAAGACTTGATAAAACAAGATAGGAAATTGGAAGACAAAATCCCAGTGTCTTATTTCCAAGCCAAGAAAGGCTCAGAACAAAGCCAGGATAGTTGAGTCTTAGCTTCACTATGGATACATTGGTCTATTCCTTGATTAGCAGATAGCCTGGCACAGAGACAAGGCAAAGAAGATAAAAATTCTGACATGGCCATGCCTTTGTTGTATGCTTTAACCTACAGCAAAAATCCAACCAATTAATGATGTTTCGTTGGTCATAAACTTTCATGATGATATTAATAAATGTTTTGATACCTACAGAACTTAACATAATGATTCACACAGAATCAAAACATATATAGTAGGCTGGCACTGGTGGCTATGCCTGTAATTTTAGCTACCTAGGAGGCTGAGATTGAAGCCAGCTTGGGCAAGAAAGTCCCTAAGACTTTTATCTCCAATTAAACAGCAAAAAGCAGGAAGTAAAGCTGGTAGAGCACCAGCTTTGAGTGAAAAAGCTAAGGGAGGAATAGTGCCCAGACCTTGAGTTCAAGACCCAGTGCTGGCACAAAAACACACAAATAAACAAACAAAAATATACAATTGAGCTGCAAGTGTAGTTCAGTGGTAGAGTATTTATGAGTATGTGTAAGGCCTCAATGCCACAAAGAAAAAAGAACAACACACACACACACACACGCATGCACACGTGCACACACACACACACACACACACACACACATGTATCTTCAAGCTGGGTACTAATGGCCCATACCTATAATTTTAGCTACTTAGGAGAGGTGAAAAGCCATCTGTCCATCGTTCATTCACTCCATCCTACCCCCCAGCACTACTTTTGCTGCCTTTCGGGTAAGAGACTTAATTCTCCTCCTACCTGCTCACCCTTCTCATGCTCTTGGCTCAAGAGCTGCTGCCTCAGGGCAGTGGGAGCTGGAGCATGCTCAGTGCCCTCATTCTCTCTTGCCTGGACCATCCTGTTACCATTCACTCCATTCCTCCTTTCACAGGGTGGTGGCTCAGGTACCTTTCCCCATCACAGTCCTCTTAGATGAAATCTACATCAGCACCTGGTTTTTGCCCTCTGGTAAAAAGTCCAACCTCAGTTTAGCTTAGGCCTTGGAAAGCCTCAACTAAGAGGCCCTGGAGGGCTCAGGCCAGTGTTTCTTTCACTATTTGGTGAAACTCTTGAGACTCAGCATTAATTTTTTTTTATGATCACATGATTTGATTTGCTCTTACCAATTACTCTTTGCTGAAAAAACATCTTCCAGTTTTATTTTGACAATGTTTGATAAATCAATTATTAACTTACAGGACAGATTATTTCACCCAGCTCAGGACTCTCATCCTAACTACTCAGGAGGCTGAGATCTGAGGATCTTGGTTTGAAGCCATCCTGAGAGGAAAAAGTCAGAGAGATTATCTCTAATTAACCACCAAAATCCCACAAGTGGAGATGTAGCTGAAATGGTAGAGCTCCAGCTGTGAGAAAGAAAGCCAAGTGGAGTGTGAGGACCCAACTACAGTACCAGCACAAAAACAAACAAAAACCAAACAGACAGCAAAAGAAGTAAAATTAAGAATTTTGGAAATTGTCAGCTAGAGAAAACTATTCTTTTTATAAATATGTCCTTCTGCTAAAGTATGAAGATAGTTTTCCCATGAGTTATCATTGTACATCAGGAAAAAAAAAACACCAACTCCTAGTAATGAGTTGAAGTAGGGAAAAAGAATTTAGCTATCTCATGACACTGATTTTTACCAATAATTTTCATCTCCAATCTTTTACATTCTTTCTCGGCGGTTTGGAGCAATGGAAGTGTTTTTTTTTCCTTATTATTTTCTTTTTCTTTCTCTCCCACTGGTCTGTAGACATGGTGCTTCCTTGAAAATATGTTTGCCATATGTGGGGAATTTTCCAGCTCCTTGCTTCTGAAAGGTGTGTGTGTATGTGTGTGTGTATGTGTGTACATGCATACACGTGTGTGTGAGAGAGTATCCCTGTGTGTGTATTTGGCATAGGTTTTCATCTGAGTGCCAAAGTCAATGGTCTTTTATTTCCAGAGTGCCTAAGTGCAGATTAGGCGTGAGACCCAGAGACGTCTCTGAGGCCCAGGTCCCCGCATCTTCCCTTATTGCTTTCCCTGCAACCTAATCGCCCTGCAGATGGGAAGTAGAGGGGGATACACAGCCTTCAGCACTGGCTCTCTGCCGAGGCCAGGAAAGCGAGGACAGTTTAAAGCGTCAGACGTGGAGTTGCAAGAGGTCCAGAGCGGGCCAGGGGAAGTCAAGGGAGCAGAATGGAATCTGCAGTTTTGGGATGAGGACTTGCTCTCTGATCAGAGTTTTGTTTTGTTGCCCAGGAAACTGAAATCAATGATAATAAATAAAAGAGGACCCTAGGGGAATGTGTTTCTGAATAAAGGCCAGAGGAACTGACCATATGAATCTTGGTTCACAGTGCACCAACAAAAGCCTGGATCCCCTTGTCCCTTTCTTAGAGGTGTGAAAACAAGGTTTAAAATCAGAAGTCTCTTTTGCCTTCCTTTATCCTGGTACTTTTGGAAACATACTTGAGTATGGATGTGTGTGTGTGTGTGTGTGTGTGTGTGTGTGTGTGCGCGCGTGTGTGTGCATGTGTGTGAGTGCTGGTGCTTTACCACATGAGCCACAGCTTCACTTCTGGCTTTTGCTGGTCGATTGGAGATAAGAGTCTCATGGATTTATCAGCTCTGGGCTGGCTTCAAACCTCAATCCTCAGATCCCAGCCTCCTTCCTGAGTAGCTAGGATTACAGGCATGAGGCACCAGCATCTGGTCTTACAAAGAGGAACATAAATTCCCATTTTATTTAAATAAAATGATATGCCATATTTGGCAAAATAGTAAGTTCATTGTACCCCACTATATGTGTGTGTGTGTGTGTGTGTGTACACACACACACACACACACATATATATATATATATATATATATATTCCTCCTCCCACATGTTCCTTCACATTATAAAGGATTTGTATAAGGGTAAAGTAGGATTAGAAGACAAATAGTAGGTTTAAGACACTACTTCTTTTTATCCTCAATAATAAAATATTTTCAGAAGAGTTTCTTATTTCTTTCCTTTTTTTTGCAAAGGCAGGGTGAGGCTTTTTAAGAAATATTGCAACCACTCAAAAAAGTATGAAGATGGATGACTGACTTTTGAAATGCTAACCTTTTGGCAGTACTTTCTTATGTTTTTTAGAAAATGGAAATAAAACATCACAAATATAATAGAAACTTTCTGTATTGCTCACTCAATTTCCACTCTACTCTCTGTTCTCCAAAGGGTATAACCTCTGTATCTATTTGATATTTATCATTCCTACATATGTGTTTAAATCTTTATTACAAATGATATGGCTATAAATAATATGTATTGTTTCTTTGGCATGATTTTTTTTGTGTGTATGTTTTGGTACTTGAGCTTGAGTTCAGAGCCTTAGGATCTCAGCTACTTTTGCTCAAGGCTGGTGCTCTACCACTTGAACCATACCTCCACTTCCAGCTTTCTGCAGGCTAATTGGACGTAAGAATCTCATGGACTATTTTGGCTTCTAACTGTGATCCTCAGATCTCATTCTTCTGAATAGATAGGATTACAGGGATGAGCCATTGATACCCAGATTTCTTCTCCCATTTAAAAAAAAAAAAACTTCCCTTCTCTTTCTTCTTAAACCTTTATTCTGTTCCCCTTCTTCCTTCTCCTTCTGTTTGTAATTTGACTGCCTTTGTGAAATGTAAGCACCATTTTGAGAAACAGTCCTTGGGCCAGA